GAGCCCCAAAGCTACCCCACCAACCACCAGGGCTGTTTTACGATCGATGTGCTGCTGATTGGAGGCTGCAGACTGGGGCTGTAGGTGTGTGTGTTGAACCCTAGGCTCCGGGGGTGGCGCTACTATACCCGTTTCACCGGTCGTGGGTGGTGGGACGTGGGGGACGTTGACATCGAGCTTGACGCCCAACTTTTGACCCGCCGTGGCTATAACTATTTCGTTGTTGTAGCCCACCACTTTTTTTACTCTCAGTTGCATATCACTCGGAGCCATGTACAGTCCCACGTCGAACACGTAGTCGACTTTCGACCTGGCATATTCCAACACGTCTTGGTAGCGTTTGATGGCACTCGGGAGATCAACTGGAGCATTGATAGCATCCTCAACATTGACAACGAACTGTTTCTGAGCGTCGTAAGCAGTCCCCTTACCTAGGATATTGGAACGCGTTTGCGTCTGCGCACCCAACAGCGCCCACACGTACGTTCGAATCGAGTCATTCAACCTGATTACCCCGGCACGAGTAAACCCTTTCGACGTGTCCAGCATGAACTTTTTCCAGTCATCCGCTGCCCCCTGCTCGAACCTCCAGACTCGGTAATCCTTGCTGTTGTCGAAAGCCATGTAACGGTCATCCCACTCGTTTGTTGTGATATGATATGACTTGTATCCCCATTCTTTCAACTTCTCGCTGGCTTCCACGAGGGGCATATTGTGAACGATGGGGATACCCAACCAATGGTTGGTCCCGCAAACGCCAATCCGTCTTCGTGTTTAGTTCGAATTCGTTGCAAATACGTTCGTAGGCCGTCTATCGTACTGGTTGTTTACTGCATTCCACGCCTTTTCCTGTGGGAGCTGGGCGCTGATCTCTTTGAGGATACGCCTGACCTGGTAGTACCGTGAAACGTGAACACAGACTGACTCAGCGGTCCACGCCGAAAGTGTCGGTCAATGTCACACCACACCCCGTTGTAGCGCACTTCACACGGCGAAGTTGAGTTGATTCTGCCAGAACTGCATCGGGTTGTTGAACCAAGCGTGAACTACCTTAGCGTTAGTCACCGAAAACTTATACTTATCAAACACATCTATGAACTGGGTGTCGAGAAATACAACCCGGCAGCGACCACGATCTTCATGTGGGGGAAATCTACGTTCAGTTTAGGGTAAAACACACCAGGGGAGTACATTTTAAAACTATTATATAATGAGTTTATATACTCTCACATGTACATAACACTTCCAGGAATTACGAGCGGCGAGGCCGTTCAGCTGACGACGCTGATCGATAACACGTCGGGTCAACTTCGAAGTCGCGCACTGTGCGATATCACCTACCTACCACGATGGACTAACATCAACGCTAGCAACAATAAACTGTTAAGAGGTGGCGCTAGCAACGAGATAATTGACGGTTACTACAGCGCAGTGCTCTCTGGCGACGATGAGGTCTTCAAACCCCTGGGAGCCGAACTCAAGATGAACGACTCAAACGGTACAGTGGTGTTAATCAACAACGGAAGAAACTCCTTGAGGCTCGGTCGACCATTGGCGAGGACACTCGGTATACAGCCTGACGAGATAAAACCAACGACTACCGCCACAGGCGAAGTTACCCGACCTAGTACCGTACCGAGAGCTGTGCATTCATCTCAGCCAGGTTAGCACAACGGACAACATTCAAGGGGGTCACCCTTCCACTATACTGAGAGCCGTACCGGTGAAAACGGAGAAATACAACGACGGCAGAACCGAGTCGTTTTCACCGGGGCAGTATAAGAGGTTAACCCAGGGCAACATCCCTGAGCTGATAATATCGGTGTTAGATATAAATCATAATCTCGTGAATATAGGATACCTCAGCGTAACGCTGCACATAAAATGACCAGCGCACAAGGTCCTGGAATGAAGTTGAAAAAAATGCATCAATGTAGGGATCTCCGACCTCGGGGACACACGCGGATTCGACGACCCCGGAGTAGATGGTAAAGTGTACGCCTTGCAACTGAAAAACAGCATTTACAAACGCGTTGAAGTCCCCTCCGGTGGTACTAGCAACCTAAGTGATATAGTAGATACCACAAGAGCGGCAGTCAACACTAAGTACACCCTTGTCAACACCGGTGATGATAACTGGATAATATACCCATCGTTCGGAGGCAAACTGTTCGACTTAGACGATGTTGAGAGCAACGTGACGGCTATCACCAAAAATAAGCCATATACACTCGTCTTCACCGATGATGACAAGTGGGTGTTATTACCCGATAAAGCCGACTGGTTTCTCAATATTAAGCTCGGCTCCCCCTACGTGTTCACGGATAACAAAGACAACCACCTAAACAAAGTCGTGAACAACGGAACCCTGCTCGTGGCTTACATCCCGACTCAGAGACGTAGCGTAGTCATCAGCCCACTCGCCAGTATGGCAGCCCACATGCTATCGAGTAAAGCGGACATGCAAAACGTGGTATTGCAGTTGGTGGCTGAATTCGAAGGTGTGGTCAAGATCCTGGAGAGTCTACCGGCGAACTCAACACTTATCATCCAAGTCTACCTAGGGGAACCATCGCGGGATGATGTCGAAATCGTGAAGGGGGTCAAATTCCGGTGGGGGAAACAACAACAGTATCACGTTTGCAACGTTTACGTGCGGGTGGGTGTCGACTCCAAAACCAGTCTACAGGGAGTCAATGTGATCGTGGAAGACACTATATCACTAACCAAGATATTCCTACCCGACAACATACACTTCATGGGGGGTGCACTTCACCCCTGAACTATTATCAGAAAACCAGTTGGAAATTATATCATAATAGTATTATAGCAATGTCTTGGTTTCACCCCAACACTACACTTAGCGATTTAGGGGACACGGAGGGATTCGACCAGCCTGGTGAGGAAGACACCTTATACATCCTGCACTTGAAAGACAACGTGTATAGGCGGGTGTCGTTATCAGATTTTAAAGAGCCTGAATGGTTAGTCAACTTAACCCTCACCTCACCTTATATCACATTAAAGGAACAAAGTCATATCTCTGAAATTAAGAACAGCGGTATCTTGCCCGCGTGCTTCGTTCCGGGGCCTAATACAAGAATTATACTGAGCGCTAGTTTACCCAATAAGTTACAGTCATTCCACGGGGGTGAGTTAAGGTATGACTGCTACGGGCACATAGGGATTCCGTCTATGGTACCAGGCTCCACACTTATCATAGAAGTCTATATCGAAAGAGTTAATAGTAATAATACAGTACAACAACTTTTACCTGGGGTGACAGTACACTGGGATCCCTATAACTATGGGCATTACCGTATCATCGTACAAACGGACCCCTCAACGAGTTCTATAACCTCCTCAATAACCCCCTTCCCGTGGGTGTCGTGTGGATGCAAAGTTACCTATTGTATTCTCACCTGTTCTCCTACATGAGGATTTATACCTTATAAGCCTCAAGTACGTTGATCAACTATTAACTGATACCCAATTAAAAAATATTTTGTAATATATATTATAGGATGGGACTGTACCCAGGTATTGATGAAGTAGCGAAGACCCTGGAAACCGTGAGGCGGGTTCCGCTTTGAGGCAGTTAGTTATGCGATGTAAAACGTCAACTAGAACAAGACCGCGATAAGCGGAAAGCATTATATAAGAAGTACCATAGAGCTTTCAATGCGTGGGCCGGGACTGATACTACCCTTATGGCAGCCAGCATGGGCCTAGGGGTGGCAGGTGTTGGTTTGTTAGCTACCATCGTAGCACCTATAGTGATGGGGCTCGAAATAACAGCTGGGGTGACAGGGGTGGGGTTGGGACTTAAGGTTGTATCCGCAGACTGCATCGTAAAGCATTGAAACACGACGAAATCAGGGTTCTGGCCGAAGCAAAGCTGAACACGGTGAGTGAGCGTATTTCCACGGCACTCACTGACACTAAGATCTCGGAGGAGGAGTTTCGTTCAATCCTCTCTGAACTCACAAAATATGACAAAATAAAACAAGAGGTTCGATCCAAGTCTCGTAAGTCTGCTATCAGCGAGGACGAGAAAAAAAAATATATAGAACAGGGGATACAAAAAGCCCGGCAAGCTTTTATAACGAACACCAAAGAGATCATAGGCGATTCACATTAAACTGTTTCATCGAGGCCAACGTGACATAGCGGCACGTGGACATAGATAAAATGAAATCAGACGAACCTACCTTGTACTACTTGAGGGATGGGCCAGGCAGACAGGAATTATTGATTCCAGACAACGTGTCACGTGATTGTGGCTGCCGGGGACATTTTGCTTGAAATTTTATAGGTTGGGAAAGCAGTAGGGGTAATGGTAGCAAGAGCTAAGGGTCCGACCAAAGCCTTATTTAGGAAATAAGGCTTTGCAGAGGATTTTGTTGGACCTGGTCCAGGACAATCATTACCTCTACTACTTGTGGTCTCATCGCAGTTTTATAGTGATCAATTTAACACATGCTTATGATAAACTAGAAGTCGGAATCATACAAAAACATTTCCAAGTGTGATCATCGATTCTATGTGTCGTCTGTGACCACACTGGAGATGACAGGCAAGATGAGTCGGATATTCGCTTAAAAAAGAATCATACCGTGTACGTTATGAACGTATTGTGAAAAAGTTTCATTTTCATATACTGAACAACATTAGAAACGCACCACCCATGTAATACGAAACATCCCCGTCAGACTGAAATGTACCCATGATATCTGAGCATCGTCGGTGCATTTTAGTGTGGTGCGTTTCTATTGTTTTTCAGTACATTTTCATTTTTTCCAAAACATCCCGTCCCCGTTTGTTTGACGCAGCACTCAGAAATATTCCAGCAATATTCCAGCCATATGACAGCGGTCTGTAATTCAACAAACAATATAGTGCAATATTTGATTTTAGCTTAGGATTTCATGCAGCCATGGTAGCGTCTTTTATATATCCAAATAAGGTATAGGATTAGGATAATCTTGGCGGGGACTCACCGAAACGTTTAACCACGATGTTTTGGGTCACAACTGATGGATACTGGGGTAGCCGGGTACCGTTATTTTCACACAGTTCTTTTGCCTTCTGAAACTTCTCGTTACGTCCAAGAGATCTGAACTCAATACCATGCACTGTTACTGTGTTCTCCGACGTATTAAACGTGGACGTCATCGGGAACAAAGGTTCTGTGAGACACCCTGAAAAAGACAAGCAAATTGCCTTAATAATAACCTAGCGAAACAAAATAAAATCTAACCCTAAACAGATATAACGAGTATGTTAAGGAAGAACCATTTGAAGAAACATGATTTGTTTTGAGAGAATTCCCGGGAAACATTGCCGGGAAAAGATGCTGGGCCCCGATCCACAAAGGGTTCGTAACGTTACGACCTATCGTAACTCAATACTATACCATTGGCTAACGAATGTCGTTACGACCTATCGCAAATCAATACTTTACCATTGGCTTATGAATGTCGTTACGACCTACCGCAAATAAATACTATACCATTGGCTTATGAATGTCGTTACGACCTATCGCAAATCAATACTATACCATTGGCTTACGAATGTCGTAGTGCTACGAACGCTTTGAGGATCGAAACGTTCGTAGCCCTAAGAATTCTTAACTGTGATCGTAGCCAATGAGTTAAGAATCGGCGTAAGAGGTTCGTAGGGCTACGAACTTTTCGAGAATAGCTAGCCTGGTTCTTGTAGTTCAATAAACATAATTGTTCGGCTTTTCAGATAAAGAAATCTTTTTGAAGCAAGAACATTGTACATATTCCAGACTTTCATTGAGTTTCACATGCCTTGAATTGTATTTTCGGAATGCCCGATTCAAGCTAGGCCATTGTGACGAGTTTACGGTTATATACCGTTTCCACCAAGGTGTAGCAGCAAATCAGGTGAAATTAAACGAAGAAAATGGTATTTGAGTCTTCGATCAAAGGATCCTGCCAGCACTCTACTTTTGCATACCTTTGTGTGTCATAATTTAATAATATTTTACCAAATTTCACAAATTCCTGAATTGCAATAGGTGACATTTCAGAGCATACCTCTATGAATACAATTTTTGTTTAAGAAATATTGCACAGTTTATGAGGTGCAATCCGTAAATAATGCGACGGGGTTTTAATGACCTAACACATCCCTTCTTGCAACGGTGGGGGCTGTGGGGTAGCCTAGAGGTTAAAGTGTTCGCTCGTCACGCTGAAGACCCAGGCTCGATTCCCCACATGGGCACAATGTGTGAAACCCATTTCTGGTGTCCCCCGCCGTGATATTGCTTGAATATTGCTAAAAGCGGCGTAAAACCAAACTCACTCACTCACTCTTGCAACGGTGTCCTGGCGTCTGTGAAGAGTCGGGTCTTCAGCAACACATGTTTTCTGGGAGGCGACTAACGGTGGGTGGTCAGGGACACTGAATTGGTTGACACATGTCATCGTATCGATGGTCATTATTTCAATCACTGGATAGTCTGGTCCAGACTCGATTATTTAAATACCACCGCTGGTTGTTTGTTGAGTGGGGCGTAAAACATCAACGGAAATCAATGTCTGGGCTTCTTTTCATGAACAGCTGACACAAAAAATCTACAGATTTTTAATTGATGCTGATTGTCTTCCCTTGTCAAGGAAGGTACTCACTTAACCGTGCTTCGCACACAACTGTACGTTCTTCAGCATTGTTGACTCTCTTCCATAATCCTTCGGTTGCAGCAACTGCATGCCCGCCACCTTTGTTTTCCAATTTACCCTCTGTCACGACCACAACTCCATCACTGCTCCATCTCCAGTGACCTTCATCCTCTTCCAGTCCCACCCAGTGTTCACCTTGGTGTACAAATACGGATTCAATACAGATTCATTCATTGTAACATTATGTAAATATATATATGATGAGTATGGATTTGCTGTAAAATGCATAATGATTAAAAGTTCCACTTTCCACTTGCAGATTGCGACAATCGGTGGTGTCTATGGAAATTAAAACTGAAAAAAACGGAAACCAAACGAAACAAAATGTTTTTCATATGAAGAAAATATAATTCGTGAATATGAAGATAATTCACATCCATACCACCCACAGTCCAGAGGTAATAGCCATGTGGGTATTTGCTATGGCATTTCATACCTCATTGAAGTTGACTTTTATTATTTTCAAACACGTGAAGATCCGGGCTAGAATTGATCTTCAGCAACCCATGGTTGTCGCAAGATTGTCTGGTCCAGACTCGATTATTTACAGACCGTCGCCATATAGCTGGAATATTGCTGAGTGCAGCGTTAAACAACAAACAAACAAATTTATCATTTCCAAGCAAATATATTTCTGCATTTGTTTCCAGTGGAGTGATTTAATCCAAAGAGTGGGGTGTTGTGTGGGAGGGGTCGGGTGGGGTTCATTCTGCCACCGGGTACCGACACTGCAGTCTCACCGAAAAGCCTAAATATTGCCTGTTGGACATTTTCTGAAGGGTACTGAGGTAAACGTGCACATCTCTTTTCACACAATGTCTTTGCTTCCTCATATGTTTCTTCAAGTCCTAGAAGTCTGAATTCAATTCCACACACAGTGGTGGTGTTTCCGGTTCTATCACTAGTTCAGCGCGTCTGAGCACGGATCAATGGCCTTCTCTGCAACACAAATAAAACATGACATAAATTACTATGTATTTTTTGTTTGTTTGCTTGTTGTTTAATGCCGCACTCAACACATCAGCTACATGGCGGCAGTCTGTAAACAATCGAATCCAGCGATTGACATGATGAATATTACGAATGTGAATTACGAATATCCTACTGTGACAAAATGTAATATATGGTTTCTAACCAAACATCTATTGTTAGATATTTGACCTGTTCTATTTACCATGCCTCGCAGCCTAGACAGGTTAGAGTAAAGTAAACTACTTTATACCACTTGCACATCTCTGTAACACATATCAGTCAGTTATTGAAAGAATTTGTAAAATCCGTAACTGTGGCTATATTGAGACAGAATATCATTTTTATTGATCTGTACAGTTTTTCATAATCTACGTCAACGATTTATGGCCGAGAAATACTACGAATACCCTTATGTGACAGAATTTAATATGTCCATGTCTTCTAACCAAACATCTGTTGATAGCAACATAACATGTCATATTTACCATGCCTTGCAACCGAGACACACTATAGTAAAGTGAACCAACTACCTCATATGTTTCATGTACATTTTCTGGAATAATATATATACATGTACATGTATGTATACACTTATATGCAATGGACCAATCAATGTTGTACCAGGGGCCGTTGGCCCACATCTGTACTGAAATACAGAATTGGAAAAATGGACAGGTTCAATCAATCTACGCAAATGTGAGTCTGACCGCCGCCTCTAGCGACGAGCACGGGTAGCTAAAATCAATTCTAACCCGGGTCTTCACAGGTGGAAAAGTTCGCTCATGACGCTGAACACCCGAGTTCGAATTCTCACTTGTGTGAAGACCACTTCTGGTGTCCCCCGACGTTAAATTGCTCGAATATTGCTAAAAGCCGCGTAAAACTAACTAATTTAATCACATTAAATACGTGTGTTTATGGATGCAATGATATTAATTCGACTGAATGTCTTAGAGACTGCAAGATACTATTCGCGAATTATGATGTACCACGCGAAAACGAAGCTTAGATATCGCCAAAACGGAAAACGAAATTACAAATAGAGGGAGAGGGCTCCATATATTCTTTAGTTTCTGTTTCCGGAAAAACGAAGTTTTAGATATACATATCAAGAAATTCAACTGCACAGGAGCAGACCATTTGTCTACTGACGATGGTTGTTAACAAAATGGGGCGGTCTGGTAGCCTAGTGGTAAAAGCGTTCGCTCCTCACGCCGAAGACTCTGGTTCGATTCCTCAGATGGGTAGAATGTGTGAAGCCCATTTCCGGTTTCCCCTGCCGTGATATTGCTTGAATATTGCTAAAAGCGGCGTAAAACGCAACTCACTAACTGTTAACAAAATGTCACATTGTCTGTTAAAAAGTACCTAGAACTTGCCGACAAACATATTTTGACCACTTAATAATCCCCATTTTATTGTTTGTCTGAGAACGACATTGTAAAATTAAAGATGTCATTGAAAGGTACATTACAAATTCTTAAAAATTGCAGACAATGTCAGAAAATCTTGACCAAAATGTATTGTCGGTTATGAATAGGGTTGAATGTCTCTAAACATTCAAGTATAATCACGACCTGCAAGTTAAATTTGAGGCTGCCAAAAATTTTAATAGCTGAATTTACGCAATTTTAATCCATGGCTAGTTTGTCCATAATCGCTAACAGCTGATGGTACGGTGTTAACCCAGCTAGGGGCCATGCAGGTAGAAAATGTACTCACTAGTCTGTAAGACCCCATGGTCCCTAATATGGTGATCTATATTCAGTTGTTGCGATGTATAGCCCGTTTATATATTTGTCGTTGTGGGCAACTTGCTAGTTTTGATATATCTAAAGCTGTGTTATTCTACTTATTTTATTGTCAGGTTTTCATATCGTGAAATATTGCTTTTTATTAATCTGTACGTTTCATAGTCACGATATGGCTGAAATATTGCCGATGTGGCTTTAAATGTTAACTCACTCACTCACATTTTGGGATAAGGTTGCTCATAAAAGTTGAAATGCCAAATCCGAATTTATGCTGTAAAGGTATCGAAGAGGGACATTGATGAGTATATGATCACCCGTAGTTACATATCGACAAACAAAAGGTTAACGTTAGACTTCCACCGATATTTAATTGGCTTTCTTTGTGCATCGTGTCCTGTATAGTCTCAATTGTTCAACGAAAACTTTAAAGCTTTTACAATTGATCATTGCTATTCTAAAATTTCGACCCTCTAATCACAACTGACCATCGGAGACATCTTGACTGCTTTGTACACCTCGGAGACCATATTCAATAATTATAGATTAATTTTACCAAAGTTTAATGACAGTTTGAAAAGAAAATCGACTCAAAGCCCCCGATAACTACATCATCCAGCCAAATCTGTTCCAAACATGTAAATTATTGAAGCCATGTTCCGCGAAGGACTTAAGCAATCATCAACATGACCATCTCCTCAGACTGAACGTTTAAATGCTTTAATCACTAAGCTAACACACACACACACACACACACACACACACACACACACACACACACACACACACACACACGCACGCACGCACGCACGCACGCACGCACGCACGCACGCACGCACGCACGCACGCACACGCGCACGCACGTGCGCGATTTTTACAGTACGTATCATCGATAGTCTTGGGGATTATCTTACCAAATTATAAAGCTAACTTTCAACGTAATCGTCTTCTCACTTGGCATATCTCTATTACTATTCTTAAATTTCGACCCTTAAGTCATAACTTACCGTCATCATCATTGCTTTGTTCACCCGAATCCTTGCCTTGAAAATAATTGTATTGAAGGTAAATACCAGTTTGAAAATGAAAATCGACTTAATATGTTCAAAATGTGTAATTTCTCTTACTTTATTTAAAATGTATAATGTGTAATTTCTCTAACTTTATTTAAAATATATAATTGAAATAAAGATTTTATCAACATTTACAAGCTTCATTAAATGTGTCTAATTTGTATATGCATATGATTCTTTACAAGTGGTTTGAAAATTATCTCTGATTGAATAACGTACCTGTGGTTGTATGGCATATCAACAGGAACGTTATCCACGTTAACGACATCATCTTCCACACGTTCGTACGGCGCAGCAATAACATGGTGTAAGCTCACCACGGAGACCGATTTAGACTACACCTTCTCACGATTCTTGTTTCAATAATTTATGTATGGGACCTCTTCATACGACATCTATTCCCGACTGTAGTCTCTCCTTTCTCATGTTGCATCAATTCCTAGTATGTTATTAGTCGATGTTTCCTCTCAGGCATACAAAATTAATTACACACGAAACAAATGCAGTCATTGGTTGCAAATATGCAGCGATTGATTTTCAGAAATCATTGTTGAAACTTGTCACCAGAATCAATATGTTTGAAATCGAGACAGCAGCTCTGTCTTTTATATTATCATCGTGAGATTGGCTCGTCGTCAGTGGTTCCGTCCGCTGTGCAGAGTTGTGTCCCTTGGGCACGCCAGGAACCCATGATTGTAAGTTCGAGTCCAGGTTATATGTTCGTGCTCGTTGGTTTAAAAATAGTCTTAATGTCAGAGACCTGGGTCCCGATTCCACAAAGCATTCGTAACATTGCGACCCGTCGTAACTCTTCAGCTGATCATGGACTTACGAATGTCGTAGCACTACGAACGCTTTGTGGATCGGGACCCAGTATCACTTAGAGCTTTATCTCTTTATTCACCGGGGCGGTGGGGTAGCCTAGTGGTTAAGGCGTTCGCTCGTCACGCCGAAGACCCGGGTTCGATTCCCGACATGGGCACAATGTGTGAAGCTCATTTCTGGTTTCCCCTGCCGTGATAATGCTAAAATCGGCGTAAAATATCTCACACACACACACACACACACACACACACACACACACACACACACACACACACACACACACACACACACACACACACACACACACACACACACACACACACACACACACACACACACACACACACACACACACACACACACACTTTATTCACCCGAGGCACCATTAAATCCAAATTTACCGTGCCGTACAATCAAACCCACTCTGTAGATAGAAGTTACCAAACCCTTTCCACATCCGTAAGATATCTCTGCTCAAACCAGAGTCGATTGTACAATTGTGACGAAATAATGAGTAAATATTTGTTTCAGCAGTATTGCAGCTGTATGATGTTGTTTGTAAACAAATCGAGTCTGGACCAGAGAGACCATTGATTGTCACCATGCGATACGATGAGACAGCATGTGTTAATGAATCACTATGGTATAAGTCAAAACAGAGAATTGCATCGGACATAATTTTTGTCACAGATGCATCAAATTTGGAAGTTTCCACATGTCTACCATTAAACTTCTTGAAGGCTTACCCGTGAAGGTCCGGGTTAGAATATTGATCATCAGTAACCCATGCTTGTCGTAAAAGGCAACTAACGGGATCGGGTAGTCAGGCTCGCTGACTTGGTTGACGCATGTAATCGTATCCCAATTACGTAGATCGATGCTCCTGCTGTTGATCACTCGCTTGTCTTGTCCAGACTCGATTATTTACAGACCGCCGCCATATAGCTGGAAAATTGGTGAGTGTGTAATTTTTGAAGTTGGGAAGTACAATATAGACAAATGTACACTCATTCATTCACTCACACACTCACTCACTCACTCACTCACTCACTCACTGCCTTGGTTGTCGTAAAAGGCATGCTTGTCGTAAAAGGTGACTAACGGGATCGGGTGGTCACGCGCGCTGACTTGGTTGACACATGTCATCGGTTCCCAATTGCGTAGATCGATGCTCTTGCTGTTGATCACTGGATTGTCTGGTCCAGACTCGATTATTTACAGACCGCCGCCTTATAGCTGGAATATTGCTG